AAGAGTTCTTCGTTTAACAGTTCGACCAGTGACGTGAGCACAGCATTTGATGATAATCATTCAGTTAGCTCTAGCTCTCTAGTTTCTACACCTTCTTCAGAATATAGACAATCATTAGATGAATCGAGTGAATCAGATTCTCTTGATGAAAAGATTGAGAATCATGTCATCACACTTGATAATATTGAATTGGAAATGAAACACTCCTCGAGTACATCCTCAGTATCTACCCTTTCGAATATGCAATCTGGTTACGTTCCACCAAAGGAAGGCGAATTGATTCCACTTTTGGATGAGATGAGTCCTTATGTGACTCCTAAGGATCATCAACTTGCTTTGAATTTATATGATTCCTTCTTGAATCATCCACAGGAATGGAACACTCTCGATGATAAGGTAGGAATGAGAACTGCCTCCAGTAAGCAAATCTATTCTTTCAATCCTTCAAAGAAGAATCCATCTGAAAGTAGACCAAGATTTATAATAGGTATTTCTGGAATTGTTCCAGGAACTCCAACAGAATGGATTAATTTAATGTACACAGACAAGGTCAAGAATAAGATTTGTAAACATTTTTCACAAAGATTCCAAGTTGAGTACAAATCCATTGATGAACAACAAGGTATTCATTATCCAAATTCAATCATTTACATGGAAGCTCCACTCCCATTCCCAATGACCAATAGAGATTTCCTCGTATCTAAAACCATTATTCCAGATAAGTATGATCCATCGACAGGCGAATATGGACGATACATTATGATTCAAAAACCATCTTACCATCACGAGTTCCCTCCGGTTGCCAAGTCAGCAGTCAGAGCTAACCATACCATTGTGTACATAGTCGAAAAGAAAGGAAATGCTAGTGTTAGATATACTTGTTTGGAAACTGGTGACATGTTGGGTAATATTCCTGCCAAGATTACTGCTCAATTTTTCAAAAGCACTGCCAAAGTCATGCACAAAAAAATCAGAAAGGTCTGTTCGAGTGCCTACGAATCACACGTGCAGAAA